TGTGTATAAGAGACAGATGTTATGTTATGTTATGTTATGTTATGTTATGTTATGTTATGTTATGTTATGTTATGTTATGTTATGTTATGTTATGTTGTGTTGTGTTGTGTTGTGTTGTGTTGTGTTGTGTTGTGTTGTGTTGTGTTGTGTTGTGTTGTGTTGTGTTGTGTTGTGTTGTGTTAAGCTTACATTTGTAATCAGTAAAGAACAAGTTTGTCCCGCCTTTAATGTTGTTATAATTCTACATTCTCTAATAATACACAATAATACTAGCTATTTTATATAGAATTAATCCATCTGAACTTGATTAATCTTAGTGCATCATCTGTCAGGTAGGCGGGATACATAGCAGAGAAGCTAATTCCATGTGAATCTCCATGTGCCACATGCTACTTCTTGATCGTTTTGATCACTGCACGAGGCTGCGAAGCTGTAATGTCCCTAAAATTTTTAAAAAAAGAGACCTTGTTGTGAGTTACAAGACCTCATGAGTCACAGGGAACTCTTTTACATACTCTTTCCAAATAGCAATAGAACGGTCTGATGTTCTCCCACTTCAATGTATACGAGTCTGAATAAAAAACGGTAACTGTTTTAGCTACTGATCCACCAGTAAACAATCGTTAAAAAAATTTAAAAAAAACAGGTTGTGCTTGTGGCCAAAAGTACATGGTAAGTATAGAAATTACGTTACAAAATATTGTTATAACCTTATTTAAAAAAATAACTATCTAAAGTTTATCTAAGCTGAACTTGGAGGCACTAATATCTAATCAAAACAAAACGTTTTTGCAATTTCACATGCAATCTTTCGGTCTGAGCTTCTATATGTTCTATAATTTTCTGCTACGCGTCAAAGGTTGTTCAACTGAGTGTAATGCGCTATTACAACTATTGCCCAATTACAGTGATTATGTTGTAAATCAAACCAAGATTCTGACAATAATAAATGAAGTATCAGAAGGTTTAACTTACTTCCTTTTATTAACGGACAATCTAGACATTTGCTTTCGCAAAATCCTCCCCAAAATTTTGAAAGCCTGACGATTCCGTTCCATTTCATAAATCCTTTACATTGTAGGTAAACGATGTCAGTCGCTGTTGGGAAAACGAAAACAAAGAAARGTAAGCAAAATGACTGACAGCATTATAGCTARCAGTAAACGCTCACGCATATAGTCATCAGATAACACCATAGTCTCTTCGCAGCCGAGCTTGCTTGACGCGTGACTGAAAAATAAACACAGCTACGAGGAGACTAATAACACCGTGGGTCCTTGTTATAATGGATGGGAAATTATAACTATAATTATATAGCCACATATTAATCCCAAATAGGTAAAAGCTGGATTTTTCGTTAATTTTGGAATCCTGTCCAATTAAGAAATTAATTGGACAGGTTTTCAATTGGGTTTTTGCTATAAATAATTTTTTACATGATATGTTGATGTTATTGCAAATTTTTAAAAATTATGTATGATTATTGACAAAATGTTGTAACACTGATTTGTTACTGATATAAATAAAAGTTAATTTTTGTTAAAAATGAAGGTGTCATTACTGTTATTGTTAAAAGCTGTGGTTGGCTTTTACCTATTTGGGATCAATATGTGGCTATATAATTAATAGGTAATAAGACTCCATGCTGTCCAATTAAGCAATAATTAGACTCGAAAAATTCCTCTGACTGCCAAATTGGACTCGGCCACGGCCTCGTCCAATTTTTGGCAGTCCTCGGAATTTTCCTCGTCCAATTATTTCTTAATTGGACAGCATGGAGTCCTATTACATATAATAATTCTTTTATACACATTGTCTCCATTTAATCTGCAATTTCACAGCATAGACCTCATTACGACCCGCGGGAAACCTGTGGTGCGATGCATTTTTGGGATTGATAAATGAGCAAACAAAGGAGCAAGAAGACAGCGCTCCAGTCATGCATCTCTTCCACGGCATGAGTTCTGAAAAAAAAAATTATATTACGGAAAAGCGCAAGAATTCCACAGAAATTACATGAAGAAATACCTCCAAAAATGGATAGTTGGTCGAAAACTAAAACAAACATATTTTGTCTGTGGAAAAATTGAAACTACTTAGTGTTCCTATGATTTTAGCGGCTTGTTTCGGACGAAGACAGGGAGATTGATATCACGTGATACATTGCAAACGGATTCGAAATTTTTCTGAGTGAGTGAATTTGTCTGTGTGAGTGATGATATGTAATATGAGGGGGGTGGGTGGGGGAGGAATGATTAGAAATAAATTAGAAATTGTTAGAGAGATTAGAATATTTAAATAAGAGGTAGAAATACAAAAAAATGGTATACCTAAGACAAATAAACACACGAATAAAAGAAAGAAAATAATAATAATAAAATAGAAGAAATAATAAAACGGATAAAAATGGTAAAAAAGCGAAATTTACGTAACGTACGTGCCCAACAACACAGGTACGTGTAGAAAGCAATACAATTATCTGAAGATATCGAGTTTTTCAAGTCAAAACGGACCGGCAGCCATGTTGGTTGTAGGAACATTTCCACCATAGCGTCAACCAGCAATATACAATCTCAAATTGCAAAGCAATATTATCTTACTCTTCTTACTTGGAATCATGTGTATGTATAATGAAAACGGCAAACCACATTTGACATGTCTTGGTGATGCTTCAGTACTGAGCGAAACATAATTCTTTCCTATAAAGAGAAATTGCATAATGATTTTAGATGAAACATTATCAAAACAAATAACACAAAATAATACAAAACAACATAATGATGCGGTATAATATGGTAATAATGACTGAGTGCACACCTACCGGTACAGACCGTTAGGGACTGGTTCTTTATATGTGGGGATGCTATCACATTAGGTAATCGAAGCCACTTTTTGACATGATCACCAGACGTTATGCCATGGAACACAAAAACGATTATGGCAATGTGGACCACGAGATTACGACTTGATGACATTGTTTCGGTGTGCTAAAGTAAGCTGTTTTCAACATAAAAAAACCTTGTTACTTTGCAGCTCTAAGGGGAATTCTTCGTTTCTTGTCCAATCATAAAGTGACAGTTTTTCAAATAATATAAAGTTTTCAAATCTTAGCTCTTTACGTCCGTATTGTCCACTGTGTTTTAAGGGTGTACTGACGTATCCGTTTCTAGACGACCTGGTTGCTATGCTAGCCGATGCTAGCCAATCGGAGAAGCGGGCGCGCGCGCGTTTTCATGGCGGGAAAATTTTTACTTCCGGTGGAAATGTTTTTGTTTATATAAAATGTATGGTATCATTTAAAAAATATAATCTTCGGTGCGAAACATCAAATGGACGTGTTTTTTTCAATATTTATGTTCTTCACAGCCTCCTCTTCAGAAGCAAGCATGGGTTTGGCGAAAAATTAAAAAATCCGAAAGTTATTGGCATTTTTCGCTTATTTGTGGCATTTAAAAATCGTAAAAAAGCTTATTTGGCAATCATTCTAAAAACGCATGCTTGGCTTTACGGACATAAATCTAAAGATTAATTTCATCCATTTTAAATCGTTTAATATAGTTTGCTTGATTAAATTAAATCATTTTTTCGTATTAATGACGTCACGCGATGACGTCATACAATGACGTCATAGAATGTGTTATTTTTGTTTGGGAGGTCTTTTAAAACACTCAATACGAAAGCCATTTTACTTTTGTTTGGCATTTTAGAGAACCTACTGAATTTCCCTAGCAACGAATATGTCAGTACACCCTTAAGGCGTGATTAGACAGGTAAACCAAACAACCTGTAATTTGTCTCGCAAATCCAACCTCGCTAAAATGACTGTTGTTGTGGTGGTTTCTTTGCTGTTTTTTGTTTGTTTGTTTGTTTTCTTAATCAGATCTATCAGCTCACTGGAATTGTTGGAAGAACAAGGAAAAAGTTTTGAATCATGAGTTGAAAGACTTGTTTCTATTAGCGTTTTTGTTTTTTGCTTATTTTTTTTAACTAATCAATGTCCGCGTTATACAATAGTTGTTTCATAAACGCTGTTTTGATTCACATAAACTATCCATCTGTGTTTTTCCGTGTATCATGTATTTCTGAATATTCTAATAATCAATCGCTTACCGTTAGAATGGTCGGAACTATAGAGGTAAACTAGTGTGACCTGCGTCAGTAAGTTATTTCACATATTTTTTACGGTGTTGAATTTATCTTTTTACACAACGCTTACCGTTAGTATGTCTGTCTTTCACCTTCTGCTCTAACTTTCTAATTTTGTTTCGGAACTTTTTAAGTTGTCAAACCTGAAGGACTTGAATAAGATTCTGTGAAACGAGATCTAATATTGAGTAATGACGAGAGGCAGAAAGGAAAACCAAAAGCTGATGGAACGAGACCAAAATTTTAGTTCCTTTTTTGAAAGAAAAAACAAGTGTTTATAACCTTATGCAACCTAAATAAGTAAATGGAGTAGAGTGTGATCTGTGCTTTTGTAATAAACTTTCATTTTCGGGCAAAATAAATGGAAACGTCATGTTTTACAATAACAGCAGATTATAAGAATCATGATGAAAAAAAACATGGAGCTTACGAAATCAATTGTAACGTTTGACTGGCGCTACTAGCGTCATTCTTTCTTTTAGATCTCATAATGCAATATACATCTAACTGCTAAAACATTGTAAGAGAGAAAATGACAACTTGTACTTTAGTAAAAAGAAAAAAACTTAAAACGACAAAATACAGCGTTCGTCCTCGGTGATCTTTTGTGTTTTTTAATAAATTCATTTTTACTTAAGCTCAAATGTGTTAAATTTCTCTCTGACACAGCATTTTGCAATTAGCTCTACCAGCAATAATTCAAGCAAGAGAAAGGGAGGGGACGGTAGATTCTTGGACGTCATTTAAGTTAGTAAGAAACCTATAAGTACGATATGCTTGCAATTGGATTCCACAAGCTTACATTATGCGGAAGGCTGGAAAAGAAAGTGAGCATATGAGAAAGCAATTATTGTATTGTTTCCTGGAAGAATTTAATGATTACGTTATCTTCGAGTTATTCTAGAATGTATTTTTTTTTTTTTTCAATTTCTGAGTGCTTTCCGAGTTCCCTTTAGAGTTGGCTTTCATGATATCAGCTGTTTCCGATTCGACAACGTTAGTTCAAAAAAGTGTTTACCACTGAATCATTTCAATAATACAAATATATAAAAAAGCAAGAGACCTCAAACTTCATATCTAATACGTTTTTAATCAAAAAAATTATCTAAATGTAATCATAAAAATGGAAGCAATTTACAAGCTTTTAAATTAATATTCACAGTAATTCAATAATTTTAAAAAGATTTATACAATCCTTATCAAACGTTTTATCAATAAAATTCGAATTAATCAATGTTCGTGGAACCTTTACAGAGAGTTGTTATGTTCTAATGACCGAAAATAGTATCTATGATATCCAATGGCTTTCATAAATTCACGACTTTTACRAAAAAATCGGCCTCGGTATGTCAGGTCTCCGTACCACAAGAGGCGATATGAGGTAAATGAGCATTAAATGGTCAGTGCAAAAATTCTACAATCTCAATCTCAAGGTTCTCGCCGAAATGTTTCTATTTATATAAAAAATAATAATTTACAATTATCAAAATTATTAAACATTAATCTCTAAAGATTATTACATAAAAATGTTATAAATCATCGTTTAATTATTCTAACTAAATTTACTGAAATATGGGTTTAGAAATTCTCCTAATACTAMCTATAATGAAATAACTGTTCCCTTTACATTTTTTGCTTGGTTGTTTTTGTCCCTTCGAAATGTAGCGCTTTCCATTTGTAAGTGTCTAAATGGCACGATCGGTGCCTTTGGTCCAGGTATGGTAATGTTCCATCGAGGAGTGAATAGCACGTTGTCCGTGATATTAAATGTCATATCAGGAATTGGATCTTGRTTAAAAACATCTAGATTACGAAGTCTTGCGGGGGTTTGATCTCGAAGTCGGTCTAAGATGTGTTTCCAGTTCTCTAGATACGCCTTGGGATATTGCCTGTGTTTGGTATTGGTTGCTGTAATGGGAAGATAGCGCAAGACCTGACCTCGAAACATTAGATCCGATGCCAAAATAATATACTTCTGGCTTTCCCACCAACTTTGATCCTCATATTCCAGGTTATATGGTAGAAGATGATCGACAGCATCTCTGTGAAACGCATTAAAACCAGCATCGAACGATATACTGACCGG